GGTGGGGGGGGAGGGCTGATTCCAGAAGCAGCGTCAGGCAAATTAAATCAGACACCAGAGACTTGGGGAAATCGGATTGGGACATAATGCAAAGCAGGTGGATGGGGAGGGGTGAAAAGAGAGAGTAGCACACTGCTCCTGAAGGGAAAGAAACCATCGCAGGCAGATTTGACTCCCTCGGTTTATATCAGCAACAAACTAATAAAGCGAAGATTAGCCAGAACAGGCTAGGATTACCAGCCACCAGGCAGGGCTTGCTGCACCTCACAGTCCGCAGGAGTTCCCGTTTTCCTGGGGACAGTGTGACAAATGTGTACTGGGCAGGGCGGGAAGAGGGGTGGTGCCACTTGGGGTGGCCCTGGTGAGGCGAAAGCCATGGCAGGGCTGAGCTCACACCCTCTCTGGGCAGCAAACTGGGCTCTGCATGGGGAAAACCAGAACTGGGCACAGGGGCCAGGAGTGGCAAAAAGATTTGGTGGTGTGCCTTTTGGCAGCCACTTTAGTGGGATGCTGCGAGAGGATTATCTTGGCCTCAATCTCTTTTAATCTCTCCTGCGGCTTTGGCCCAAGCCCGAGATAAATACCTTTTAACGGATCTCATCTGACGTCAGGAGACCATCAGTCTAATCACCCAGGCCACCTTTGGGCAAAGCAAGCCAGAGACATGGACACTGGCCCCTCACCCCCCAACATGTCCTCATCAAGCGGGAACCGTCCAACGCCCCTACATACATCATGGAGATGGAGATGCGAGTGCTGGGCTGTGATGGATCTCCCACCAGGGAGAGGGAATTCGAAATGCACGCATCAAATTGCTTTTTGCCTGTGACTCTGGAGAGGATGGGAAGCAAAAAGCGTTGCCAATGCAAGGTTTCCCAAGCCTGGGTGTTAAGGAAGTGCTGGGATTTAGTCCGAGGAAAGACTTCCTTTTCCACAGAGCAGGGTCTCTGTGCCAACTACAAGGAGGGGGATCACCCACCCACCTCTCCCATCACTGGCCCTGGCCCTACCAATTTCTTCCATCCGAACTGTTGGGTGGGTGTCCCTGCACAGCTCTCCTCAAGGCCTGTGTATGTCATGACCACAGGTTGATCTCTGGCTCTAATGTTTCCCAGGAAAAGGGTCACTGCTCTTTTCGATACTCCATATCCACCCCATTCAATTCCTGTTTGGCTACAATATAATCCCATCTCGGGACACTAATCCCCGTGGCAGTGACAGCAGATTGTCTTTGTACGAGGGTGGAAAATGATAAACAAAATATCTCTCCTGCTTTCAGGGGAAATTTGCTGCACAGAACAGAAAACAAAAAAACCAAAACAACCCCCCCCTCCCCTCCCCCCCCAAAAAAGCAGCTTTGCTACAGGGAAACGTGAACATTCAGTGCTTTTGCTTAAAGGCGCTCCCCACCCTTTCCAGGGGTTGGCCATGGCAGACCTTTCTTGCTCTCCTTTATTGGAAGTAGGTGGCATCTGGGCAAATACTTTGTTTTCTTTCACTGAGAGCTCAATCTCCTTCCACCATTTGTTAATTAAATTTCCACCAGCAACAGGTGCGCATGTCTCCCTCCTGGTGTACAGACTCAAATTCCCACCAACATCTGTGTCCAGCATTTTGCTTTTATTCCATATAACCAGTCCCTCACCTTCCCTCCCTCAGACCAATTGTGAGTTTCTGAAGCTTGCAGGTGCCCAGGAAATTCAGAGGCTCCCATTTTGAGTTCCTGAATGTGAGACAGCCCTTGCCTCTGAAAGACCCCAGGCTCCTCCTCCCCCTCTCCGATTCGGCCCTGGTTGATTGAGAAGCTGGCACTGAGAGGAGGGGAGTGAGTAGACCCTACCTTCTTACTTCTGAGTGACACAAACACATTGGTGAGGGAGTGAAGAAAGTTCCTGGTGTCACTGACTTTAATTCTCTCTGTCTCTACTCCCATGTTTCAGCTGCTGGGATGTCACAAAGAAGAAAGCTGCATCCCTTCCCATCACTACGGCTCTAACATGCTAATACACAGCTCCAGGCCCCTGTGGTCCTGGTGCGACCACGACCTGCCAAGGCCATGGTGTGTGTCAGTCCTGTTCCCTTGGTCCCATGTACTCAGAACTCATCCCTGGTCCGCAGTCCCTTGGGGTGATGCGTCCTGTCTGAGCTAGGCTTGTGTCTCTGGCTCGTGGGCGTGGCTCTGCCATTGGCAATGGGAGACTCTGAGGAGGATCTGCCACTGTGATCAGCCCCATGACGTTCTTCTCCATCGCGCCGGTCCTGCTCCACAGCTCTCTGCTCCATCAGCTGCTCTGCCTTCACCCGCTCCTGCAGCCATGGAGACAGAGCAGATGTCAACCCCTCCTTGCTAGGGTCTTCGCCCTGCTCGCAGAGGCTGACAAGACACATCTTGTCTTTGCCACATCCACCCAACCTCCCCAGAGCCCGTTCTCTCTTGCAGGACTCATCACAAGCTGGGCTCTCCACCAGGTACCTTTGTCAGAGGACAACCCTCAGCTGCTGCTCTACACCCTGTCCCATGGGAAAGCCCACAAGCCATTCCTCAGAGGGATTTAACCTGGCTTGGAGGTACTTGTATCCGATTCTCCAGCGTGGTTCTTCACCTGCTCAGCGTGCTCCTGGGAGTGCGTGTACCAGAGAGCAATGGCGCAGCGCCTGCCACGGCTCACTGCCCACACGCCGTGGGGGTTCTCCTTGCCGGAGCTGAAGGCTACCAGCCTCCCACACTTAGGGCGCACCTCGGCCTGCCAGGAGAGAGAGAGAAGAGGCAATGAAACCAGCAGCCCCCTGCTCTGGGGTATACGGTCATTGTACAGCAGTAACACTGTCTCTGGGAGTAGACCTTGGGAAGGGAATAACAACACAGGTCAGCATCCACAGACTGGAACAGCTTGGGACACCTCAGCTAGAAAGGAGTTAACCTCTCCTCTGAGATTTGCCTCCATTTGCCTTTAGCTGTCCCGATTTGAATCTGTCATAGCACTGGATTGTTTTCGGAGTGGTGGGATCCAATAACCAACTTGTTTTCTTCTGCCCAGACTAAGTCTCACCCTCAGTCCTCCCCCTCCTTCTTTTGGCCAGTCCCAGACTTACTGTGACAGTCACGGTGTCCATTTCAGTGAAGAAAAGGCCGCCGCCTTGGAAGTCATCATTGAGGTAGAGAATGCCACTGTGGACAAAAAGAAAGAGGACGTGTGGATGGTGAAGCTCACTTGTCTCAGGTGCTTCCCCACACTCCTTGTCGCAGGACGCTGTGACACCCGAATGATGCCACAAGTTCAAAAAGTGACCAGACCAGTTAACAGGGGAATCCATTTGGGGGTGTTAAGTACAGCAGTGCCTAACTCAGGAGAGTCCTTGAGCTGCAAGCCACAGGAAGCCAGAAGAGTGTGCCAGGCAGTTAGCTCTATGCGCTTGTCCTGTTTTGTTTCGGGTATTTTTTTAATCCTTTGCAGCCTGCACCTGTGGCACTGCTGTGACAATGCCCTGGACTAGAGACACCTTGGTTCTTACCTGGCATGACGTTATGTTTTAAGACTGAAAATAATCCAAAGCCTGGAAGAGGAGACTGATCAGCAAAGAAAGGCATGCCTTAAGAGTCAAGGAATTTCAGGGTAACATACGAATGGCCGAAAAGAGGCTTAGTGCATGCAGAAAATAAAAATAAAACAAGAAATTTCTTTACTAACGTTAGATAAAAAGAGAAGTAGTGAGGCCACTGTGCAGAGCAGGTGAGACCACAGTCAACTCGGTGAAAGAATGGACCACGAACTACTTGAATTCCTCTTGGTATACAATTAAACTAATAGAAAATGTCAGAGGAAGAAGAGAGGCTTAATAATGGGAGAAAGAAATAGAAACCAACACTGGCTGCTGAAGCAAAACTTTAAGGACATAAGGACAGTGAGAGGATTACTAACCCTGAAGCCCAGGAAGTTATAGCTCTTCTGCCACAGGGTTTTAATAAGGCTGTGAAGTCAGGGTGGTAGCACCACTGAAAAAAAGGAAGGAAAGCTCTCCCAGGCACAAAGGGGCAGGAGGCTTGGGATATGGCTGAAGCATAAACAGGCCTGTTAGCCTGACCTCCATAGTCTGCAGGGCTTCAGTCTCCACTTCTGAGGAGAAGGATAATTGAAGACAAGAGGTAAATTGAAAACAATCTTAAAATGTATCATGAGGGTATTAAAAGCAGATTGGGCTAGCCACACCATCTCTGACAAAGCAGTTGATTTTCCAGGGAAAGACAACGTGCTCGATCTCAGCTCTTTGGGCTCTGGCAAAAGCACTCAGAACGGTGCCACAAGAGAAATTACTAATGAACACAGAGAAGGTGAAGAAGAGCGTGTGAACAGCATGCAGTGATGAGCGCACCACTGACACCAAAAGGAGTACTGGAGGAGGACCACTGGGACTCTTGGGCCCCTGGGTCAAATCCTGTTCAATAGTTTCACTAACGACCCCAGCACAAATACATAGGATGGATTCAGGAAGCTTGGAGCACATGGACCCCTTTCAAAAGGACACTGGAAGAGCTCAGCCCTTATGAGTTGGTTGGGCAATCAAAATTCACTCTGCAAGAGGACAGGAATACTGAAATGGCTCAGTGGCACAGATCTGAGAAAGGTATTTTAACACATATTTAAGTAGAAGTCAGAGAAGCCCCCTACTCTGGGAGGAGTGAGGTGACAGGACAGCTTTCCCACAGCAGGGACAGAGTTTTAACCAGTTACATGACAGAGCTTGGTAACTTTACAATCTGACTATACCAAGTCAGCATCTATATCAGAAGGGAAACAGAGGGAATTCCAGTATCACTGAGTCCAAGTCCCACATCCTTACCATAGGCTGCTCAGAGAAGATTTCTGCTCTGGATACAGCTACCACTCAAAGAAAAGGCAAGTAAGATGTCTGGATGCCCAGGGATGGGATGATAAATAGGAGGAATCGACTGTAGTGAACCGACCTCATTTGGCTTCAGTGTGCAACAATTGTTATCATCTTTAAACTGTATCTCAGATTCTTTCACAGAAGGGTAACAAAACCTGCCACAGGCTGGAAAAAAAACCTCACATAGAATGGGAAAACCCCAACACAAAGTATTGGCAGCAAATCTTGAGAGAGATGAACAGTGAGAAGAGTCACCAAAGCACAGTGACTGCTCAAAGGAGACCCAAGGAGCTTGGTTCTCCCTCTCCTGTAATGCACAGAGGACTGTGAGAGACAGAACATGATTACCTGACACAGACTGTCATGAGGGCTGGCAGCGGACTGCAGTACTGTGGTAGACCCACACGACAACTTGATACCATGGTTCTAGTCCGTGCAGCCTCCCAGCCCTGTTCTGCTCTCTGCTAATGCTAGCTGTGAGGGGAGGAGAGGGAGAAAGGGCAGATCTTCTTCCCAGCCCAGGAAAGGTGTTTCACACCTTGTGCTGAAGCCGCTGATGCAGCCTGATGCTTCCTATAGTCCTGGCGGGCTCTGAGCCAACAACCCCATCACCTGGTTTCTATAAGCTGAGCTCATCCGCTGATGGAGCCGGAGAGACGTTCTGATCTCCACATGATCTAATGCAGGTCGCCTTCTTCTCTTACCTGTAGTCTCTGTACACATAGGCAGGAGGTTCTCTCCAGCACTCCTGCCCCTCGGGATCCAAGAGACAATTATCTGCATGGACAGGATGACTGAGATCCATGCGACCTCCCTGTTCCTCTGAAAAGGCACATCACAAAAAAGAATGTGGGCATTTTCGGTTTCAAGAAAGAATAGGGCAGAGAGAAAGGGGTAGGGTGAAAGACTCTTTACCAGCTACAGCCGTGCGGCACACAAGGTGCGTGAATGAGAAATGGAGCATCTTTCCAGGAGTGAAATAGGACTCTATGATTTTCCGCGATTTCTCACTGGCCTGCAGAAGCAATTTGGCATCTCTCCAGTCCACGTCCCCATTCTGGGCCAGCTAGAAGTGAAAAACAAGCCTGTTAGGATACTTAGGTATAAAGACATTCTAAGAATGATACACGTACACAGTACTGAAGAAGACAGTCTCTTCCCAGAGGGACACGCTGAAAAGATGAGGTAACAGGCAAAAGCTGTAGCAAAGGAAATTTTGGCCAGATACAAAGGAAAACTTCATCCTCCCTCCTGTGGTACAACACTGAAACAGGTGCCCTGAGAGGCTGGGGAATCTCCGCCCTTGGAGGTGTTCAGGACTTGTCTGCACAAGGCCTTGAGGGATCTCATCTAGCTTTGGAATCAGCCATGCTGTGAGTAGGGGATTGGACTAGAGATCTCCAGAGGCTCCTTCCATCTTAATTTATTCTCCAGTTCTAGGTCTGTAAGACTACTGTACAGGGACAAGTAGTAATCCCCAAACCCTGTCCCACAAGAGAGAAAGCACTTGTCAAGCCCTCCATGTACAACATGCCTAAATGTGACTGCAGAGGAAGAGGATCAGGGGAGACCGCACATGTGCTTGCGAGGAAGATAACACATCCATGACCCCATGCAGAGTGCACTTCACAGAGAGAAATGCTGGGGTGGCAAACTCTCTTTCTGGATAATCACAAAGGTGGCAGACTCACACAGCCACTTACCTGCATGGCTTTCAAAACAGTTAACCCTTCAAATCTCTCATGTGGGGTGTGAGGCGACCGCCTTGCCCGGTAGCCATCCCCTGCTTCTCCCGCTGCCTGGAAGAGAAGGATGCAGATGACACATGTTAGGCTGCCATCTCTCATGCATAGAAACACTACAGCCCTGCCTGCTGAGGAGGAAAGTACAGGTACAGGAGCTCCTACGAACCCCAGGCTTCACCTTTGTCAGGCGGAGAAGATCCTTACACTCAGACTCGGTCAGCACTCTGTCGAACACAACCCTCTGGGTTCCATTCATTCGGCGGGAATCCATCGTGACAGCAATGCCCTCAAAAGGCAGAGGGCCTGTCGGGAAGCAGGTACAGATAGGCATGAGCAAGCTTTGGACAAGAAGACCTCAGACACCAATCCCCAGCCTGGATAAGGAAGTGGAGAGACACTATACATTCTCTGATAAGACAGGAGAGCTCCCCAGAAGTGCCCATTCCTCGCAGACCTGGGCCACTTGCACCCCTCGCATGCTTCAGGGGACCAGAGCATCAGTTGGGGAAGCTGGCCTACAGCGAGCGCTTCAGGAGTCAGCAGAAACTTGGGGCTTGCTGGGAGAGCAGCAGGGAGCTGGGGGAAGTTGAGTGCACTGTGGGTTGCAGCAGCAGAACAGGTCCAGCCTGCTGGGGTGAGGCTCTGGAGAAAAGAAGCAGGTAAACACCTCCATCAACCCTCCTTTCCATCACACATATTATCCCAGAATTATCTCCAGTGAAACTTTTTACTTTCTTCAGCCCCAAAGAGAAGCAAGGGGTATTAGTCGGTGATTTGATCTTTTGATCTCTGGACTTTTTTCTACCCTCTTCTGACCTCTGGATGCCCAAGAATGCCAAGGCACTCAGGCCCTCAGAATGACCTGCTCTCCCATGTGTCACAGCAGAGAATCACTTGGGGTCACTTCAAGCAAAGACTCCAGGTCAGAGCCCTGCAAGAAGCTGTGTGTTCACACACCCACAAAACATTCGGACTTGTGCTTTTCAGGGAAAGACTTGCCCAAGCCAAATAGTCTGCTTCCGGTTTCCATTCCCCCCCACTCTCTCCTTGTCCCCTTCAGAAAAATGTTGTTTGAAGTTGGGCTCGTGGAGTTGAACCAGGTTAGGTGTAGACACTCCTGCCATACTGAATAGGGATCTGCATGTCCACAGGCTTGTCACGTATTCAGGCACCACTGCTCTCAGCTTCTCCAGCCACAGTGCTCTTTGAGTTCCCATCCCAGAGAGGTACGCAGTGAGATTTTGCAAGATTACACATGCATCAAAGAAGGAGAAAATAAACAGTGAGAAGACTTGCTGAGCCATTCAAGTCAGTCTGCATCTACGTTAGCATTCAAACGACTGAGGACGGAAGAAAAGACAACATTTAGCCTGACTAAGCCTGGCTGACTGCATCCAAGTCCTTCTTCAAGCTCTTTTACTCACCCCTCTTCTCCCTCTCTTCCACATCCACAGTTTCCTGCTTTTGCTTCTCCTGATCCTCTCTCGGGAGCAAGGGAAAAAACAGAGACCAGGGCTGTCAGTACACAGAGCTATGCCTAACCCTCCTCTGTAGCAGCATTTCCCACCCTTTCTGTTCCTGTTTGGCCCATTCCTCAGTATTACTGTTCCTTGTACCATCCCTGCCAGTCCAACCCATCCCCTAATTCCAACACTTACATTTCAGTCCTGGTTGACTTGGCCCACCTTACCTGTGTTTCTCCTTTAGGTTTTCAGGAATCAGCTCCTCCGGAGTCCAAAGATCCTGTAGGAACAAATACAGATGGTTCAATACACCGCAAACTTCTCCCACATTGGATCATGTCAAACATTCAGTTCCTTGTCCCGCTTCTCCAGTGAACATCAGACCAATGGCTCTGGCCTGTTTCTGATGACAGCCAGATTGGGCTAATACATGTGGTTACAGCAGGA